ATAGAAGAACCCTTTTTGTCTAAATGGTTCCGTTAAGACCCTTTCGAATCTGAAGAACCTTTCTGTTTCACAAAAGGCTCTTTGTGGCAAAAGAAGGTTTTTCAGATTATAAAAAGCTAAGAAAGAGATGGTTCTTTAAAGAACCTTTGTCTGAATGGTTCTTTGTGGAGCCAAAAATGGTTCTTCTTTGGCATCACTATGTATGTATTTGCATGGTTTATATTTGAAATGAAAAGTTTTCGTTTCAACTGAGAAATGTTTGAGTAATTGTTAACCAAAGGGTTCATGTTTAATGCTTTGTCCTTGTTGTAACATTTTTTTTAAGGAGGCACAAGTGGCAATTTAGTGTGATAATAGACACTGAATGAATGCTGGAGTAACAGATAGGGTTTGTACTGTGTGTGTGTGTTTCTAGAATCAGTCATTTGAGAGAGATGTTCAGGTGAGCTCTGAAGCTACGCCGTCACAGGAGAAGAGAGAGGAGGTCACAGCCGCTCAACACGAGAAGGTGCTGCTAATCACACTTCTGCTAGATCTGTAAAAACTATTTTGGCTCTTCTATTATAGTCAATACTAATCATCTCCGCACAGTTGCAGCAAAGCCCTTGAGTTAAGAAAAAACGAAGTTTTAAGGCTTAGGTTTAGAAACCCTCTGTTAAGGACATTACCGTTGTCATGAAGTGTTTTCCCTTAAAAAACAGGTCCCTTGAGACATTTGCTAAACTCATAAGTCAATGAATAAAAAGAATGTCAGCTTGTGTGGTTTGCTCACAGATTTAGTCACAGCGAAAGACTGCGTGAAAGAAAACAGACTAGCTGTGTTACATTTATTTAAGCAGAGTACCTCATGTGAGATCGTTAAACTCCAACTTAAATATTTGCCAGTTTTCAACTCCTCAGTGCTTTTTCCATAATATAGAGACATGGTTGCCAGATTGGGAAGATTCAGTCAAACACTGGGCAGAAAAAGAATCAATTTATGGGAAAAAATTAAATGCTCATCTGGCAGCTGCAACCAAAAAAAGCTTGTGGAGGTTTGTTAACAATACAAGATAACACAAATTCCAAATTAAAATGAAATGGTTTTAGGGTGGATAACCAGTGGGTAAATTTCACAGACAAATATGCTTATTAAATCAAGAGAAGCCGAAATCACAATGAAAATAAAAATATGCGCAGATGTAACTGAACTGAACACTGAACTAACTTGAGCTAAATAATGAGATGCATTTCTTTTAGAGTCTCCATAGCTGAGTTTCCATTGATTTGTTCTTTTTCTGTTTGTCACTGTGAAGCTGCTTTGGCAGTCTGTATTATATGAATTGCTATAGAAAGGTGACTTGACTGTAAGTATAATGCTTAATCTTTGCCAGAAAGGCTATTCCAAAAAGGCATTATTGAAAAGATGATTCGTTTTGTAGCTTTGCTACTGTCAGAATGTGAGCTTGATTTGCAACACACACGTTTTGTGACGTCACTGTGTGTGATCGACCCATGAAGAAATGATAAGTGACATGCATCTGTTTTTGTTTCCTCTCCACAGTCCGGTCACTCAGTAGTGAAGCAGATCACAGTGGAAGAGCTTTTTGGCAGTTCTTTACCCAAAGAAGCGCCCCAGTCAACAAGCTCCACTGTGGGAGAACGCATGCGTGGGCCTGCGTTTGTTCACTCGGTGGAGCCTCTCCTCGCTCCTCACCTCTCTGCTGACCCAGGAGGCACGGCGCTGGTCTCTCTCTTTCAGGGTTGTGGCACCCGAGACCCAAGACCGGCTGCTTCAAATACGGAGGAGAGTGGGAGCAGGACCACCAGTCAGTCTGTGCGTCGAGGTTCGGCTGGTCCACTTCCTCCTGCGTATATGAATCCTCCCACAGATGGGCATGGGCTGCCCGGGTTCATGCCCAGCCCGCTGGTCACCCCACAGAGCTTCAGAGAATCCGCCTGCAAAGGTCCAGGGCCCTTCACGGAAAAGGCTGCATTGTCGGCACAGGTGAATACACCGAGCAGTGTTTTCATAGTATGTTTTTTTTTTTTATGCAAGTGCAGAAATGATTGACGAAATGACACATTGTTTCCTGCAGTACAGGAGTGGGAGTCTTTATGCACCTCAAAATATGTTCTGATTCGAACTGATGTGATTCGGTGTGAATGTCACTAATAATGTCAAAACTCTTTTAAAAGAAAAGACAAAACAAGATAAAAATACACTCATTACAGTGTTTGGTACAATACACAATACTGATCTCCCAAATCAGAACTCTCAGGATACAACAAGGCCAAAATATTGATGGAAAGTGTTTTATTAGTATTTTTATTATTACTTTTAAGACATTAAAAAGTTAAAGGGGTCGTGAACTGAGAAACCAAAGTTCCCTTGGTCTTTTGGCATATAAGAGGTCATTGCACTGTAAAAACATCCTGTAAGTTTCAGAACTTAAAACTTTGTTGTTAGTCTAAAAACAGCTTATATTGAAGGCAGTCTGCTAAAACAGCAGTTTGTGGAATATTCTACTCTGATGTAATAGTGTGGATAAGCGCCGCCTCCGCAGAAGATCGACATCACTGTCTGGTTAGCCCCGCACACCGATTCTACAGCACTGTCTGGTTAGCCCCGCACACCGATTCTACAGCACTGTCTGGTTAGCCCCGCACACCGATTCTACAGCACTGTCTGGTTAGCCCCGCACACCGATTCTACAGCACTGTCTGGTTAGCCCCGCACACCGATTCTACAGCACTGTCTGGTTAGCCCCGCACACCGATTCTACAGCACTGTCTGGTTAGCCCCGCCCACTGATTTGCGCATGTAGTGTTTACAAGAGAGGCGAATGCGCACTTCTATGCAGAAACTAAACGATGAAGATGCTCTGAAGACAAGAAAAGACTGCAGTGCCAAGCTGTGGAAAAACGGTGTTTGCGTTGCCTTCCTTCTGATCCCAACATTAGGAAAGAGTGAATGAACTTCCAGACCGTGTCAATAAGAGCTCAGTCCTTTGTTCACTTCTTTTTACTGCGGATTCGTTTACAAACAAGGCACAATTCAACACAGGATTTTCAGAAAGATTGAAATTAAAAGACGACGCTTTGCTGACTATATTGGATCCGGCAGATCGTTTGATATGTTCGGAGTTATTTGTGTTTTTAACCTAAATCACAGCAGTGGGCGTTTACTTCCGAGTCTACAATCCTCCACGCCTATTCAAACAGAGCGTTCTGATGAGGGGGGGTCAAAATGGGACAGACAATAGCCTATTACTTATAAATTATGATATTTTTTTGGTGTAAAAATCTTGATCACATTATAAGTGCACCTCAGAGAACAGTACAAAATAAAAAGACAAACTCAGTTCATGACCCCTTTAAAAAAAGTGCAGTTCGTAAGAATGCTACATAGATGTTTTATTTATTTATTATTATTTTAAAACCTGTTTATTAGCAGTGCATGCTTATCTAGAAAAATAATGTAGTCCCTGTCTTAATTTACTGGTAAAATCAGACTTGGCATTATCAGGACTAACAGATTGCAATTTCCCTATTGCGTTATCATACATTATATTCGGCATTATATACAGTATCTTAATTTGATACTTTACACCTGGTTACGGTTAGAACGTGTTGTGTGGACGAACGGGTTAGGAGTGTTTTGTGTGGTTAGCGCTAAATACAGGTGGAAACAAGGTCTAAACGATTTTGTGATTGCATAGCCTACCTGTTTTGATTAAAATTGTTTACTGAAGTCAGAGCCATTAAAGTTATTCAAACCAAGTTTTTTTTTTTTTTTTTAATTCATTAAAAAAACCAATTAATTAAAACAATTCATTTGTGAATCAGACTATGCTGGCCATGTTCTAAATTTTTGCGAGCAGCCTGCAGTTTTGGGCTAAAGTTACTTTTTCGGAGTAGTATTGCGTTACTCCATAAAATATAGCTAATTATGTTATTTACATTTTATGGAAAGTAATGTGCTGCATTACTGTTGCGTTACATTTTCAAACCTCAGCTGGCTGTGGCTCTTTCTTTCAGACAAATATAGCGTTATGCTGGGGTTGCTTTTTGTAATTTAGATTTTTTTTATCACAAGTTATTTTTTGTAAGTGTAAAGGCCCATTCACTGCAAACAAAGTAAAAAGGCAAGACCGAGCATGTTTGTATGATTTAGATTTGTTTGTTTATTTGTTTCACAAAAAGGGACAATGTACATTAATCAACATTTATGAATGTAAATGTACCCAAATTAACACGAAGGCTAGTTTTCATTGGTAGTCCTTTTACCAGGTGTTATTAGGTGTAAAAACTAGAGAAAAGTAGTTCAAGTATTCATTTTGACATACGTTAATGGAAAACAAAGAGAACATGTACCATTTAAAATGAAGCTTAGAAGTGTATCTTGTTTTTGCATAAGATCTCTCCCTCTCTTTGACAGAGTAAAGAGGCGAATGTGTTTACACAGTCCTCGACTCTGGTCAAACCCATTCCAGTAAGTGTACTTTTAGGAAGCATGGTCAGGTTTGATGTATTGTTTGGTGGCAGTAACATTATGATTGATGTCTCTGTCATGTGAAGGCGGGGCCAGCTGTCCAGGGGGAGGAGTCTTCACTGCTGCTGTCTCCTAGTGTGTTCCAGCATTCTATGACCAAGACAGCCGAGCCACTGAAGAACCCCGCCTCCCCGACGTCTCCCACAGCAGACCTGCCCTCTTCCCTGTACAATCGCACCCAGCTTAAAGATACACTCATACATCTCATAAAGGTACAGACTGACACCCGCATGCTCACAAACCAACAGTGAAGAAAGACTCGTCCATCAAATCACTTTGGTCTTCAATTGTCTGCCTATATTTGTTTGCAGAATGACGCCCATTTCCTCAGTGCAATCCATGAGGCCTACATACAGAGCCTCTCTAAAGGCCTCAACAACATCAAGTTATAGCCACAAACTGAGAAAACAAAACGTGCTAGCTGGAGCCGTTTCAGATTCAGCGTGAAGCTTGACTACATCCAC